TCTTCTATCTGTACTTGTTTGCTTTTACTGGTGATTGTTACTCTTGTCAGTATACACTTTTCCTTTTGTATTTGTTATATAGTATTTTGTTGTGATCTTATTTTATTTTGCTATAACTTATTGCTCTTTCTTTGTTTTATTTTTTGTTGCTCAGCATTTATTGAATTTTGAGATATCAGCAAACATCTGTATTGTCCTGTGATGAAACTATGAATCTTACTTAATTTTGTTATAATAGCTACAGATAACTCTTTTGCTTTTTTTTATTGATAATGAGCTCACACAATATCTGTGTTGTTTTTATGTTGTATTGGCATCCTTGGTATTTTGTTATAGATGAGTCTTTGGCTATCTGTATATAGTGACTGATGTAAATTTATTTATCTGTTTTTTTATATCTTTTATCTATATTGCCATATATCATATTGTCTTCAATTCTTGTGGTTATAAAATTGTTTTATGATGTGACTATTCTCTCTGTTCTAATTAGTTGATTTTCTGACCAGTCTTGCTTCATTATCCATGTATTATCTATAATACTTGATATAGCAAGCATGGTTTGTAGTTGTTGGAACTATTTCAGGATTCTATCTTTTATTGCTTTTTCTTTACCCTTGTAGCTTGTTTGAATTCAACCCAATATCTTCTGTTGGCTTGAGTTGGTAAGTTGTTCCACATACATTATTTTGTTGATAAGGGTTGGATAAGATGGAGTATAGCCCAGTCTGTATATCCAAATATATGATGACACCTTTCATTAAATAATCATTGTGACACCAACTGAATGATCATTACACCACTATACCTTAACGGAAAGATCATAATCTCAACACCCTCTGAATCAACATGTGAAATGGCTTCTTATGAGAAACAGCATATGATTGGTTATAATATCAGATATTATATTAATTTATTCAATCATCTTTACATAGAATTGAACTGATATTTTATGATCTGACTTGCAGAGTACTAACCACTATACTATAGATTTACAGGTCAGATTTTAAAATTATTTTCTTTACTATTTAAATAATTTAATATAAGCAAGCTAGTATTAAACTTGTTAGTTATTTGGTTATTATTTTTTTTAATAAATATTAGTTTTTTTATTATTGTATATATATAATTATATATTTTAATAAGAATTTACATTTCTTAATTTATATAAGTTAAGTATTAGTTTATTAAAATACTTTCAAAACTATATTAAAAAAATTTTTTAAAATGATATACTATTTATAATAATAAAAAAGATTAAAAAAACTAAATTATATATTAATATTTAATAAATAACTTTCACATTACAACTTTGACTCACATAATTGTAGGTTTAGAAAAATTAAATATAGGTATATACTGTACTTTCTAATAAATATTAGCTATTTGATTATATGAGAGATATTATTACTTTTAATTTTTAAATAATAAAATAATAATATTTATTAATTTAAAAAATAAAAATAAATATAAATATTTTTAAATAAAATTTATATCATTTTGTTTTTAAAAGTTTTAAAAATGATTAAATAAATTTCATAAAATTTTATTTAATTATAAAAAAAATATAAAATTAAAAAAATTTCAAATAATTATAAATTACAATATATTATATATATATTTTATTTTTTAAAAAATCTTTTTATTTATTTTTTTATTATTATAAAACTTTTAATTATATTAAAATTCTTACTGTAAATAATAAATGATTGATTTTATCAATAAGAATAAATAATAATAAAGAATTAATAAAAAAAAATAATTAAAATTTTTAAAAATCAATTATTTATTTATTTATTTAATGAAAGTTAAAGCAAACTTAATAAAAATATTGATATTCTGATATTATATTTTTTAAAAAATAAATATTTCAGTTATTTGAAAATTTTTTTATAGCAAATAAACATTAGATATATAATTTTTATTAATAAATTATTTGAAGATTTGAATATATTTAAAGATATATAATATAATATAATCTTAATATATTAATTATTTTATTATTTAATGTTTTTTTAAAATAACTAAATAAGATTAATTTAATAATTCTATTTTTAAACATCTTAAGTTATACATATATACAGTTATAAGAAATAATTAAATATTTTTTATTGATATCTTTAATTAATAAAATTTTATTTATTAAAAATAAAATTAAATTAAATTAAATATATCAACTTTATATATTATATATAATTAAAATATATTATTATTATTAAATAAAATAAGAACCAGTAAAGTGAACCAAAAAAATCCTGATTATTATTTTTAACAATTATATTTCTTATTGTCAATGTTAAAAAAATTTATATTAAATTAATTAGTAAATATAAAAGATTTTAATTGAAAGAATCAAATATCATTAACTATTTATATATAGTATTATATATACTTAGAGCTTAGGTTATAATGAATAAGATAATTTTTTTTAATTATACTGTATATAACATCTATAATAAAGATTTTATTTAAAAAAAGATTTTAAAAAAATATAAAATATTTATATATTTATTTATATAAGATTATATTTATTCATATAAGATTATATATTTATTCATGTAATTATTTTTCATTTCAAATTATATTATAATTATCGCCGTGATTATTTTTCATATTATTGTTATAAAAAAATTTTTTTCTTTGATATTGAATACTGTTATTAAAATAAAATAAGAATCAATTAAAAATCTATTGATAATATGCATTATCATGTCACATTGTATATAAGTAATGATTAATTTGTAATAATTGATTAGTCAGAATTAAGTATTTCAAATTTAATGATAAATTTTAAATATTCTGCATGATTGAATAAGGTTAAATTGGATCAATAAAGACTTACCCGCCTTTATAGAATAAACACCATTGTGACACGTGATTCGACCAAAGATGCATGCAAAGTAATTATCCCGCAGTAGACGCGACACCAGGCTGATGTTATTGAACCGGCTCATCACCTTCAAGCGATATCATAAATAGTAATATCTTAAAAATTTTCTATTTACGATGTTTGCGAAATTGGAAAATCATTCATTAAATTAATACGGTAATAAACAACGGTGGCTGATTATTCTTACTTGAACCTTATTTTTTTGCAGGATTCGAAAAATAGAATTTATTTAAAATAGCATCAGCGATCATTCCGCAGGTAAAACAATAGTGATTCGCTGCAAAGTTTAGGTTTGAGAAAAAAGAAAAGTACCTTGCAGTCGTAGTACCATAAAAAAAGGAATTTATCAGCAGACATCGAGATGCATTTGGAACAATAAGAATTATAAATAAGTTAAAATCATTGTACCCAAATAATTCAGGAATGCCGAAAATAAGATGTATAATAGGTAGGTGTTACATCCCCATTGTCAGACGGGCCACCTAACATTCAGACGGTTATTCTCCCATACTCACAGTCACAGCCACAACGAAAGCAATTTTCTCGATGGTCGGTTTTACGTATTTTATATTGATTTCACATCATCGGAATTGAAGATAGAAGATTGGTGATTGATTATGCACACACGCAAGTCATCTTATTTCCTCCTGTTGATTGCGCGCATTTAAGAAATGTAATAAATAATTAATGTGCAGGCGTTTGCGGTGGGAACATCGGTGTCAAATCACCTCTTAATCATTTATCTACAGCTTAATTGAATCAAACTGATTGTGACATGGAGTGGCAAATTACATACAGCGGCTATATTATTAAAGCGAGATGGCGCTTATAGATTTAATATAAACAAATATAACTCAATGTCCCAGTGTCAGACCGCAATCTTCATAATAAAGACTAAAAATGATGCAGGTTTATATGTCTTGTGGATCAAGACGCCGGTTTCACCACCTGAACATGCGATTCCTTTGTGCATTATATTATTCTAGAAGGATCTCACTGAACATAACGAGCACAAAGCGATGTTACAAAAATATAATTATCCGCACAGCTGTGTAATAGTTGCCATTCAGGGCGACCAATAATTTCCGTGAAAGTCGGAATGTTGGATGTTGAATTTATTATATTTGACAGTCAGATGTCGACAACTTTTTTACTTATAGGATAATGATAATAATACACATGATCCGTCATTCCTGGAATATACACAATGGAAAGCTTAACTCGTGTTGATATAATTCTTACTTTATTTGTTGCACACGTTCAAAAATTCAGTTGCTTGTGTGCGTGCATGGTATTGCAATATAGCAAATTAGAATGAATGCTGCACAGCGGTGAATTAAAGTTTACAGTACAGCTCGGTGGGCGAGGGTCTCTTTCTATTTGTAATCATTTAAAAAAATTTTTGCATCTTATTAGGGGAGATGCATAGTATTCTTTTTTTTTTAAAAAAAAAGAAAAAAAAAAATTAGATATAAACAATAATAATGATGTAAAAGTAAAAATAGAATTGTTTTAAATTAATTTTATTACTTGGAAACACTAACTTGAAAGAATATCTGCGGTGACGGGTGGCGGCATATACTAATTCCCAAAATATATAGAATCGCTGCGATATGACAGCAGAATTTCCTAAGCAACGTGTAACTGTGTCACTCAACAGTAATATTCATTCCGTTACGTATTTTTAATATTGATGCCAAGCCAATCCAGCTTACGTGCTGGTGTTAGTATTATCACCGACTGGAGGATAAAAAACGATTTTTTACGACCTTGTGCGGAAAAGTCATGGCTATGTAACCCACTGCCTAATTTCCGTAATTGTCATTGGATCGGTGTAAAGGTTGATTTTTTTTTTTTTTAGTTTAACATAAGTAACAAAGCCTTATATGGATAATGCACAATCCTACCATTACATCAACTATCTTAAGAATGATCAAAAATTTGTGGAATCTCCCCCGCCTACCAAAACATCACGTACCAATTTTGGCGGTGCGCATGTCAAATAAATACCCACTGGGTAACGGCTTTCAAAAATTTCAGTTTAACACCAGCTCCGACTTTTGAAAACGAAGAAAATAGAAATTTTTCCTGTGTTAAATAAAAAATGACCTCGGCCTCCGTAACTCCGTCGAGAAACTCTTTGGATGATGAATTTGACGAAGAAACAAGAAGCTTATCACCTCCACGTTCACCGCAATCCTCCTCAATATCTCCTTCCTCTTCTACACAATCTCTAACAAAAGGCAATAATATTGGTCATGATTATTATCCTCCACTTTCCCCTGAAGATATCAAAGATGATTTTTGGGATTCTATTTATAACCGAAGTCCATCGGAGTCCTCTATAACATTCGAGTATCAACATCATAGGTCTTCGATACCCAGCGTGGCGTCATCCACTTCATCCTGCTTCAGTTACCGGCAAGACAACGCACCGTTAAGGTGGAGAAATAAACATGCTTCCAATTCAAAAAACCAAGTTATTGGTCAATCGACGAACACTTCCATAGCAGGTCAGAACTATATTAAATATTCATACAGGGAGGCAATGGATGTGATATGCGGTGGTGAAGTTCAAAATTCCTATCCCCGTCAAGAATGCAAAAGTCCCGACGTCATCCCACTTACTCCCGACGTCACCCCATATACTTCGGTCACAACCTTGAGTAACATCTCGGAATCTTTGGATCCATCAATTTTGAACTCGGATGGAATTTTCAAGTTATCTGAACTTCACATGATATCACTTCTCCAAAGGGACGATTTGGAAATACCCGAAGTTGAGATATGGAATAAAGTTATAGCTTGGGGTGTGAAAAATGCCTTTACAGATCAATTTGATGCTGATGTATCAAAATGGTCACCAAAGGATTTTGAAGCGCTCGCAAAAACATTGAGAAATTGTATATACTGGATTCGATTTCATCAGATCGAACCTTTCGACTTTGCCAAATACGTCCTCCCGTATAGGCCAATTATACCACCATTTATCATTGGCAATTTCTTGCGACAACAAATTACTGGTCACATTCAATTGACACCGTTGTTGGCACCGCCAAGAATAGCTTCAACATTAGTGGACTCATCCATCATTACCGGTCGACATGCAACAATTTTAGAAAGTTGGATAAAAGAAAATGAATTATCGGACAAAAATTTCTCTTGTAAATTCAATCTTCTCTATCGCGGAAGTCGTGACGGCGTCTCATCAAAAAAATTTCATAGAAGATGCGACAATCAGGGTCCGACAATATTGATTGTAAAAATTTTTGGTTCCGACCAAATTGTTGGTGGATTTAATCCAATAAGTTACCAGCGAACGCGAAAAATTTGGATGAGAAATACCAAGGAAAAAAAGGAAAACTTGGAAAAAATGAATTCATTCATATTTTCTTTCCAGGCGCGCTATTATCCGGAAGAAACTGCTGTAATAAGTAGAGTATTGTTACAGCATGCGAAGGAGGCCACAATAAAACATCGCCTCGGTCCGTGTTTTGGCATCGGACCGGACCTTTTGGTTAAATTGGATGTAAATGACAAGTCAACCAAACTTCATCCCGCTTCCTACGAACATTCTATATTAGATCGTGAGAACGTGGAATGGGAGGACTTTGAAATATTTCAAGTTGTAAAAGCCTCATAAGCAACTTCGTTTTATTATTAATTAAAAATTTAAGAGACGAACGTTCGAGTTTGTTTTTTTCCTCAAAATAAACCTTCAATTTATTACGCTTCTTCAAAATTGCTTATTACGTTTATCACATACTCATCCCCATTATACATCAAAAAAAAAAAAAAAAAAGTTCTTTTCTCCCTTCATAGAATTACATTACTCTCTTTCTTTCTTCGGAAATAGAAATTGCGCAACCATTGTCCTTTGTTTGTTGGTAAAACATTGAATGGTCAAACAACTTGATGAACATTGGCGCAACCGTACAAGCGTACTACTGTGTCGTGACATATTACTACTCTCTTGAGAAACAATGGTTAAATTGAATTGGAACATTCATTTTAATTGACTAAAAAAGTAAAAAATCAAGCTCGCAATCATTATTTAAAAAAAGTACTTCTTTCTTCTTGGCTAGGATTTCGGTGATTGGCATGGAACAAGTTAATTCCGTGTGACTATTGCTTGAATGAACGCCATATTAATAATATGTCACATCTAAGGAATTTCGTGTTTTTAAGGTTTATCTTATTAGAATGATTTAAAACGGAACGGGTACGAATAACTCATCTGTAAAAATAAAATACATTGTAACTAAGGATTCTTCAATATTAAAATAAATGGGCGATTACGCAAAAGGGTTTCTTTCAAAAAAAATAATTTTTTTTTTATATAATATAATAAATTCAAATTTGTGTACAAGTTTCACAAAAACGCGATGTACTATATACTGTAAAAAGTGCATGTTGGTTTATATTACAGGGGCGAATTTTTTTTTTTTTATGATTAATATAGTAATTTTAATTATACGCTATCACTATCATTTTCTATAATGTTAAATCATTACGAATTGTTCACTTCCCATTTAGTATATGCTGATCATATTCATATGTCAATTTTTTTTTATCGTCATAATTATCTAACTTTCATAATACCGTAAAAAATGTGCATATAGCTACCATTAAAAGAATTATTGAAAATAGTTGGTTATTTTTGGAATTTTCAATTTTCGATTTTACAAAAATAAACTTTTTTTTTTTTTTTGAAATTTATCGTCATCCTGGTGCAGGGACCATGTTGATCTTTTTGTACCGTATCCAATTTTAACGAAGAAATCCCTTATTCATATTTTGATAACATAATGTATGCGTGTGTTTAAAAGTATGTTTAAAAGTATGTTTAAAGTATGTAAAAGAAAATCAATTTTTAAATTTTATGAGAACGTGTAATTTTTAAATTTTATGAGAACGTGTATTAATTTTAATTTTTTTTTTTTATAAAAAATTTTTGCAAAATAAATAAATTACAACTCACAACAAAAATTTAATAAATGTTAAAATCTAATTTATTGAAAAATTAACAAAAAAATTTTTTTTTTGATACAATTTAAAACAAAATTATTGGTTTTTTAATAAAATCCATTATAATATATTTTTACATTTTTAATACTATATTAAAAAATAAAAAATTCAATTATTGTTTTATTATATTTATAAAAAATTATAAATATAAAAATTATTATAAGATATTAATTAAAAAGATAAATCAAGTCCTATAGTATGAAACAAAAATAATTGAAAAAAATTAAAATCCATATTTTTATTAATAATCTAATAAATAATTAAATAATAAAAATAAAATAAACATATATGTATATATTTAAAAATATAAACAATTGAAATATATAAAAAAGTTTTTTTTTAAATATATAAAATAATATAATTAATTATAATTAAAAAGAAATAACAATTTTAAAATTTAAAATTTTTGTTAATTACAAAATAACAATAATATTAATTATTAAAATTACAATATTTTAAATATAGATTAATTAAATAAAACTTTTTTATGTTTTTATATTTTCAAATATATCTGTATATTTTTATTTTATTTGTTTAATTATTTATAAATTATTAATAAAAATATAAATATTAATTTTTTTCAAATTATTTTATTTTATACTATATATAATTAAAAACTTTATTGATTTTTTTAATTAATATTTTATTATAATTTTTATATTAATAAAAAATTTTTTTTTAATTTCTTATTAAACCATTTATTTTTTATATTAATTCAATAAATAATTAATTATTATATAATTTTTTTAATAACTAAATAATATTATAGATTTTTTTTATATTTTAAAATATAATTTTTTATATTTTAATATTAATAATATACTGTATATACTATATATATATTAAGAAAAAAAACACTATTTATTTATTTATTTATATATTATCTGATATATGTATATTTCAAAAAAAAAATATTTTTTATATATAATATTATATAAAAAAAAATAATTATTATATTTTTATTTATAATTTAATAAATAATTAACAAAAATTTATAAAAATTTATAATCATATAATAAATATTATATAAAACAATTTTACTTAATATTTTTTTAAAATAAAAAATTTTTTACTTTTTTTTATATATATATAATTTTTTAATAAATTAATAAATTAAAATTAAAAACAATAAATTTTTTTTATAATTTTTTTTTCAAATCAAAATTTTTTAATAATATTTTAAACTTTAAAATAGAATATATTATACTTCTTAGTAAATTAACTATTTATAAACCTTTTTTTTTTGAGGAACTGAAAACCATTATTAAAGCAAACAACAAGTTAAAAAAATCAAATCAATTAAAACATAAAACTTTATTTATATTTAGAATCAAACTTCTTGTCAATTAGCTTCCACTAAAATTAAACTTCACAAACGATATTCTACCTATTACTCTGATAACCTATATCTATAATATAATATATATCTTAAAAATTTACTGTATATTTTTTCATATGTACATATTAGGCTATTAATTAATAAAAAGAAATATAAATTGAATAATCTTATTCTGAACCTCAATTCTAAAGATATCAAAGCCACCAACTTTATCAATACTCTTAAATTAACACCAAATATTTTATTAAGTTTAACCATTTATAAATTTAATTCCTCCTTTAGCTCGCTTGAAAAAAAAAAGATATTTCTAATTATACTCTCAAAATTCTCTACAAGACCTGAAAAATATGATCTGCCATAACAACAATCTTATCGTCATCTGACATAAAATAAAAAAAACACCTAGTTCTAAAGTACCAAACCTGAATACAAATGATAATATCACATTTAACAAAATCCTAAATTTATTAAATACTTCATTAAACTTTACTGATAAATCAATTTTCATTTCAATAGTAATATCATCATTCTGAATTGTCATTAGCCATTCAACACTATTGGTGTAAGCCCATCCCTGAGATGATATCTGGCATCAATAAACTTGTTATAATAGGCTATAATTAATTTATTTTTATAAAGATTATTAATATAATGACAGTAAATTTTTATTTAAATAAAGTCTTATATTTAATACTTATTTGTAATAAAAAAAAAAAATAGAATATATTAAAAATTTATTATTTTATTTTAAATTTTTAATTAATTTTTTTTTATACTTGTTAACAAGAAAATAATATAGGATATAATTACTTAATATGTTTTGACACATTTCATGCTCTAATTTTTACTAATCAATAATCAATAGTTTATAGTGATACTTTAGATTTTAATATAGTTTCAAATAACTTATTAATTAGATAGTATAATAATAAAATTTGTCTATTTTAGCTTAATAAAATTACATAATATAATATTAACAATGAGAATATATCATGTTAATATAAAAAAAGAAGAAGTGATAAAAATCATATAATAATTATAAGACATATATACAAAAAAAAATAATAAATAAAATATAACAAGAAAAAAGTAGTAATATAAATAGTACTATTAAATAAAAAGTTATTCTTTAATTAAAAACTTTCTAATTAAAATATGTGATCAGTATTATCAAAAAAAAAGAAATTTAATTAACTTACCTAATCCAGTATTTGTCTTGCTATAGAACAATTGGAACCATAAAAGAAAAATAGTAAATATTAAATTACCTATACTAATTATTTAACTTATACTAAAAAAAACCAGTATAACTATTAATTAATATTAAACAACTATAATTTTTACTTAAAATTAAAAGAAATTAAATTATAATATAAAAATATTAAAAATATATAAAATAATTAAATTTGTTTTGAATAAATATTTTAATAATAAAAATAAATAAAAATTGAAATATCTATTGTAAAATTATTTTATTGAAAAAAATTAATTTGTTTATATTAAAAAAACTAAAATTAATTTTTATTTGTACTGTTTTTGAGCCTTGGTTTTATTATTATTTTTTTTTATGAGCTAAATATGATACACACATAACTTTATTAATCAATTTTTACAGATTATATGGTTATTACATTGTTACAAGGAAATTACAGTAAGTCAGTTGCTTCGATTTGTCTCACACTATATAACAATAGGGTTTCATTTCTACTTAAAAAAGATGTGTGAATTTGGCCAGAGTTTATAACACCGACGCAGATCAGTCCATCAATCTTGTATCCTCAATTGTTACTTCCTTATGTAACAATTCTATTAGCTTTATACACTGGAGTGTTTTCACAAGACAGTTTATTAATTATCTATTGCGCAGTACCTATCCTAATTGTTCCTACTTTTTGTATATTCTCCAGTCACTTATATATATTTTGACTTTATATCTATTATATATATTATTTCTGATATATTATTTATACCAAATATATCTTTTATATATAATATACCTTTTATATCTAATATATCACTTATACTTGATATACTTATCCCTATAATTTCCTACTATTTATCCATCAAATTTTCCCTATAACAATATAAACAGTCAATTTTAAATAAATTAATGCTATTCACCCATTTTTATCCAAATACCAACTTATATCTCATAAGTATATTCATATTAGGTTTATATTATATCTTCTTATTTGTAAATATAGGATAAGAAAAATCTTGTTCGACAATTGAAAAATCTTTCCAACAATCTCTTTTTTAGTTTTAATAACCAATTT